TAGACTGTATATAAAGGTTTGAAACATAGACTGTATTTAAAGGTTTGAAACATAGACTGTATTTAAAGGTTTGAAACATAGACTGTATTTAAAGGTTTGAAACATAGACTGTATATAAAGGTTTGAAACATAGACTGTATATAAAGGTTTGAAACATAGACTGTATATAAAGGTTTGAAACATAGACTGTATAAAGGTTTGAAACATAGACTGTATATAAAGGTTTGAAACATAGACTGTATATAAAGGTTTGAAACATAGACTGTATATAAAGGTTTGAAACATAGACTGTATATAAAGGTTTGAAACATAGACTGTATATAAGGTTTGAAACATAGACTGTATATAAAGGTTTGAAACATAGACTGTATTTAAAGGTTTGAAACATAGACTGTATTTAAAGGTTTGAAACATAGACTGTATATAAAGGTTTGAAACATAGACTGTATATAAAGGTTTGAAACATAGACTGTATATAAAGGTTTGAAACATAGACTGTATATAAAGGTTTGAAACATAGACTGTATTTAAAGGTTTGAAACATAGACTGTATATAAAGGTTTGAAACATAGACTGTATATAAAGGTTTGAAACATAGACTGTATATAAAGGTTTGAAACATAGACTGTATATAAAGGTTTGAAACATAGACTGTATATAAAGGTTTGAAACATAGACTGTATATAAAGGTTTGAAACATAGACTGTATATAAAGGTTTGAAACATAGACTGTATTTAAAGGTTTGAAACATAGACTGTATATAAAGGTTTGAAACATAGACTGTATATAAAGGTTTGAAACACAGACTGTATATAAAGGTTTGAAAGCACAGAAAGTCAGGTGACTGTAAGGTGACGCATGCGCATGTAGGGTAGTGAAAGAGGAGTCACGCATGCGCGGTGTAAACTGAAGCATTTCCTGTCAAGATGGCGCTGAGCAGAGGAGCAGGGCTGTGGAGGACATGCAGCATGTTGTTACCCAGACACCCGCTCCTGTTCCCCGCAGCTGCCCGAACACAGAGCTCCGTGAGCCGGGACCTGGTGCCCCGGACCTCCCTGTCTAGGCCGCCGTGGCCGGAGCAGGCGATACTGGTCCCGGAGGAGGAGCGGAGCCGACACGCAGCGGTGGTGAGCACCGTGAACCAGCTCATCGACCAGCAGGACTACGGCCGGCTGTTCGCCATCGTGCACTTTGCCAGCCACCAGTGGAAGGTCACCACCGAGGACCTGATCCTGATCGAGAACCACATCGATGCGGAGTGCGGGGAGCGGATCCGGATGGAGAAGGTGCTGCTGGTCGGGGCGGAGAACTTCACCTTGATCGGCAGGCCTCTGCTGGGGAAGGACCTGGTCCGTGTCGAGGCCACCGTGATCGAAAAGACCGAGTCCTGGCCCAAAGTCCACATGAGGTTCTGGAAGAGACACCGGTTCCAGCGCAAGAGGATCATCATCCAGCCACAGACGGTGCTGAGGATCAACAGCATCGAGCTGGCCCCCAGACTGACATGATGATGAAGATGAAGAGTGGACGATGTCACACACAGACTGAGGGTTTATTTGTCCCCACTGATTATAAAGAAATATGTAAACAAACACGTGCAGGTCGGGGAGCCGGTTCATGTTAATGCAGCAGCAAACCCAACGTGACTCTCTGGACCGGGTTCCTGCAGAACTGTTGACAGGATAGTACTGCTGTAAATAAAGATCCATCTTTTGCAAATGACTGATATTTAATAGGTTTCTATTGATTTTGAATTCTCTTTTCTCGGTGTTAAAGACTCTCCATGTTTTTTGCATGCAGGAAAACATAGTTTCTTAAATACAGTCTTTTTTAATATCTTCATATCTGGCCTGGCTGGGTTTTACATTTATATTTGTCTTTATCATTATTCTTCAATACAAGACTCCCGAGTTTTAATAGGTGGTGAATGGAAACATTTAACCATTAATTTTCTTAAAAATATCATCTAAAAAACTGCAGTGTCAGTGTTTCCAGTAGCGTGTTTGATCATCAGGTACTGATTAGAAAGATGTTAGGAAGCTTAACTAACTGATTGATACCCCATTTGTAATATCAAACATTTTCTAGATGAAAATATTTATTTAATAGGTTTCTATTGATTTTAAATTCTGAAAGTATTAAAATGTGTTAAAGACCTACATTTGCCTTGAATGCAGGTAAACAAAGTTTCTCAAATTCAGTCTTATTTATGAATCTTTAAATCTAGACAACAAACCAACATACTTATATTACAAAAAAAAATTAGTTCATTAAAAAGTTAGTAAGTTGATTAACAAAAATATAATCACAGATACTTTCTGATACCCCCCCTAACTCTTTAGCAGGTAAAAAATCTTTGCTGGTTTCAGCTTTTCAGATTGTCAGGATTTTCTGGTTTTCTATGTTTACTGCACATGAATCTGTAAGAAAAATAATAGCTGCAATGAAAGGTCTATCCTTCCTTTTTACTGGGTTTAGAAAAGTCTTAAAATGAGTGATTAAAAGGTTTAGTTTATGTTGTCTTACTCATGGGCATGTCAATATGGCTGGGTTTTATATTCATATATGTCATTATTACTATTCAATACAAGACTACAAGGTGGTGAATGGAAACATTTAACCATTAATTTACTTTAAAAATCATCTTAAAACTGCAGTGTCAGTGTTTCTGTGTGGCGTTTTTGTTTGTTTGTCAAGTACTGATAAGAAAAATATTGAAGTTTTTCATTTTGTAGACTTGTTGTGGCCCTGTGGAAAAGCTGCAGTTATGTAGTCACACAGCATCTGCTGCTGAGAAAACAAATCTAAAACAGATTATGATACATTACGATCTCGGTCATTGTAACAGTATAAGGACCTTGTTTAAACATCATTAGGACACATTTATAGCCTGAATTAAAGTTAGTTAAGCTACATTTCTCTCAGAGCTACTAAGGAAAAAAAAGAGACAGTTACAGTGCTCATTAACGGGGTAATGAAGGTCCCAGCGTCTCCACCAGCCTTCTGGTAACAAGGTTAAATCTGAAACAAACAAACAAAAAAATCAACCACAGACAAAAACATTTTTTAAACAGTCTGCAAAAGAACTGCTTTATTTAGAAACCTTATTGAATCGTCTCTGGAAAACAGGAAGCCCGGCTCGGCTGTTCACCCCTGCAGAAGACGGGATCTGAAGGCACTGTTGAACATTTCTGCTCAGTGGTCGCAAGTTTACTCGTAAGCTGATGTTTAAACTGGGAGCTTGTCCAACAGGCAAGGAAAAAAATAAATAAATAGAGAAGAAAAGAACAGTTGCTACTAATGTTAACAGGCCGGTGGCATTTTCAGCAGCGTCTTCACCTTCGCAGACGTCCCAATGAACTAAACCGTCTGCTTTGGTGAAAATCAACAAAGTACCATAATCCTTACGCTCAGGCTTTCCTTTACGTCCAACAACAAACCTGCCCTGTAGGAAAGTTAAGGTCATTTAAAAAAAAAAAAAGGGAGCTGTATTGCTGTAAGCTTTTAGACATTTAAACCCGAACACATCCTGCATGGTGTTGATGAGCAGAGATAAGACAAGTGGTTTCTTTCATTTACAGGCCGAGACGAGAGTCCGCCACAACAGTTATACGTTTGAATGCTAAATTTGATTTGAAGTAGAGCTGCAACTAATCTATTAGTTGTCAGCTGCTGATAATCGATTAATCGGTTTGAGTAAGTCAAAATTCTCTAGCTTCATAAATGTGAACATTTAAAAAAAAAACAAAAAAAAACGAGGTCATCTTGGGCTTTGGGAAACACTGATCGACATTTTTCAGACCAAAAAAGAATCGAGAAATTAATCGACTATGAAAAATAATCGTTAGTTGCAGCCCTAATCTGAAGAATCAGGATAAAGTTTAAATGGTTTGGTTCAAGTCCATCTTAACACAACACACAGATACCTTGTATACATTGTGAGAACTATGGGTCGCTGTAATCTTTCCGTCTGTCTGTGATCCCTTCTAATGTCATTTCATTGTTAAGAGGAGAAGGACAAAAGCCTTCTGTGTTTAAATAAGTTGAAGCTTCAGCAGTCCGAGTTAGACAAACAAGGTGAGTATCTTCATCCTGCTACTTGGAGTGGCGTCCTTGCCTCAAACCTATATGCGACTAACCAGGACGCTTCTCAGCCACATGTGAGGAAACTTAATGTTTTTGAAAACAACTTAAATGTGTCCAATCTGTAAACAGATAATTTTGACGATCACTTGATTGACCGGAGTTGAGGAAACTCACAGGATTTTAATTACTCAAGCTCTACTTCTGTCACTACTCATGTCAAGTGCCACACCAAGAATGCCCGTTATCCCCATTTATACGATTCAACACATCAAGACTTAGCCTGGGAACCAGACGAATCTACCCCCCCCCCCCCCCCCCCCCCCCCCCTTCTCATTCAAACCGGCACCCCCCCTGTCCTGGAACTGGTCGGGCCAATCACAGCCATTTATCTCATATTGGGCGAGTTAGATACGATGACCGACAAGACGAGCGTCACCGGTCCAGATTTGAAAAGTCGCATGTCACTGCTCTAAGTGGTTGTAGGTCTGTGACGCACCAGGCTCAAGAAACTCAGATCCAACTGTCGAACTAGGCAGTGAAGTCGCTTTGGGAAGGGGTCACTTCACGACTAGTGTGAACATGAAGGATGACAACAGTGACTGTTAAGAAAAACCCAAACTTTTCCTTTAGACTCCAGAAATGTCTCTAACTTGGCCTTTTGGTTGAACTGCAGTTCAATAGAGAAAATCATAAAGGCCCAAAGACAGGGTAAATGTTATTTTGTCATGTCACCAAACATACACTTTTCTGATCAGTCTGGCTTCACTGGTGATTTCAGCAGTGAAGTTTTAACTTGCAACTTAAATTTTTAAAAACTTCTTTGTTCTGTTTTTATCTGGTATGTATGTTTGTGACAACTGTATATAAAGATGGACGAAAGTGAAGCCAAAACACCCTGATCGCCCCTGCATTAATCATCAACCATATATTATTTTTATTAGTTATTTAATTAGTATTTGACGCTATAAATACGGGGTTTCACGTCATGATTGACAGCTGAGCCTCGTTCATAACCGAGTCGGCCAGGCGTACAGCGAGACTAGGCTCAAAAAGTGTCGTCCATCTTTATATACAGTCTGTTTGATCACAGGGAAAGGAATTGTTAAAATGACTTGTTAATACATTTTCTCATCCATACAGCATGAAAGATGTATCTTTTTATGTATCAAGGTTGACTGAGCCAAATAAGCAGAATCTCCTCCTTCTGTCGCAGCAGCAAGGCAGGAAACCGTTTTCAAAACAAAATCTCAAGTATAATTTTCAAAAGTCCGATTAGGATTGTCCAAAAGATCGACTCCTCTTCCTGAAAGTCCTCCTCTGCCTCATGAGGGGATTGCCCTTGCCTTTGTCCGTCTTCTGAAGTGTATAAGCCCTTTTCAAACGGGTCCACGGGCACCATCTGATCGTAAAACACTCGCATTTCAAACTCGCTCTCCTTGTGAGACGGGTGGCCGTAAATGCCGATGCCCACGGGCCTCGCAAAGTCCCCCGGCACACCACCACATCCTGGCCGCAGGTGACCGACTGCAGCTTGTACGTGTCGAAGCTCGGCCGCAGGGTTTTATCCGACACGTAGAGATCCGCGTCCCCCTTGAGGCTTTGCATGTGCAGGATGATTCTGCCATCGTGGTTGAGGCGCAGGTAGCTGTAGTTCCCGGCCCCGATGTGGCCCTGAACCACATGGAGCAGCACCCAGTCTTCGGGTACGCCGTCGTCCTCCGAGGAGTTCAGGAAGCCTCTTACCTGGGACAGCAGGAGGCCAACGACCAGAGCGCTGCAGCTCAGCATCATGGCGAAGGCATCAGTCAGTCAAACACCGCCTGGACGACACCAGACAGCCTGACAACAGGACGAGAAGCATTATGAAGCACCCCAACAAAAAAAAACACGAAAACATTCAACTAGGGCTGCATCTAATGATACATTTCATAAATGTTCTAGTATTTAAAATATCTGACAACAGTGAAAAATGCTGATCACAAAAGGCACCTTTTATTCATAAGGTTCAAAAGTGGATTTGAACCAGCAAATGTTTGGCATTTCTTTGATAGATTACTTGTTCAGCCAGTTTTCTCACGATAGACTTTCCAGATGGGTTAAAACATTTTCTGTTATTCAGCCATTTTCTTATCCTGTTTCTTGTTATTTGGACCCACTTTAAGTCTGGGACCAAACAAGATTAAAAAAGCAGCACATCATACAAACCACTAGGGCAACAACTAACGATTATTTTCATTATCGATTAATCTGTCGATCATATTCACAATTAATAGATTAGTTCTTCATCTATAAAATGTCTATCAGTGTTTCCCCAAAGCCAAAGATGACGATCTCAAATGTCTACTGTCATAGGAGTAAAGAAACCATAAAATATTAACAATAGAGCTGAAATCAGAGAATTAAAATTTTTTAGAGATTAACTGATTATCAAAATAGTTCATTTAATTGTTGACAACTAATCGTAGCAGCTCTAAGCACTGACATTTGTACCCACTACAGTTACAAATGCAATGTGAGTATACACGGTGTTTGTGACTTATGAATCATACATGATGTGGTCCAAAACAAATCTTGGCAGTGTGAGATCATCTTAACACCCAGACTGACTGATCTGAGCAACACTAATGATATAAATAATGATCACTATGACTAAACTCCAGCCCCCCCGTGACCCTCTACACAGAATAAGAGGCTGACGATGGATGGCTGGATGACTAAGTGGAGTGAAATATATTAGTTCATGTTAATGTGACAGAGTCAGGATGATGTTATCAGTAAGTCCCTATTGGCCTCCCAGCCACCTCCCATTCTCTGTGACACCCTTCAGTCAGTACTGGGAGAATATGTTTTCACGGTAAAAAAAAATTAATATCAATCGAGATCCAACAAAGGTTGAGGTCAAGGCCAACTGGACTTGGTTGAAGAAACTTCAACTAGTTCTTCAACCAAGTCCAGTTGGCCTTGACCTCAACCTTTGTTGGATAACTATGACCTGGATGACTGAGACCCTTCACAGACATGTCATTCCAGACCGATAATTATCACAATAAATATCAAATCATTACTGCTGTAAGTTTAACAGCTTATTTTTGCTCCTGAGTGAAAGTTGAATTGTGGTTTTAAACTTTTTTTTACAATCAGAACAAACACGTTTTCACGATTAATCGTTTAGTCTAACAGGTCAATAAATTGTGAGAAATGCTCTTCACAATTTCCCTGAGCCCAAAGTGACGTCGTAATATTTCACATTTCTGCTTGAATAAAATGACAAACGATTAATCTATTATTCCCCTCGGGGATCAATAAAGTTCCTATCCATCTATCTATCAAAATAGCAGCTCTATCCACTAAGACAACTGTATCAATGAAAAATGAAAAGGAAAAGGATGCAGCGCACAAAACAAAGTACCTAATACTTCTTTATTAACGCACCGCATTCAGTATTTTTGGTTTCCTGTTAAATGAAACTCATTAACCAGCACAAACCTGAGCCTCCGCTTTCTCACTGTTCAGTGAAATGTGAGTCTGAAAGAGCTAAAAATAAACTCACCGGTGAGTCTGACCTTTGATACGAAGGAAAAAATGATTTCAACGGCTGTTTCACCAACGAATCACCTGATATTCGCTATAACGTTCAGCTTCATGGCTTACAAACGACATTCCTGTGAGAAGTTAAACATTAAAAAAATCCTGTATATTTGTTTATCGACAACTAACTAAAACCGATTCGTCCCAATAACTTAACGCTGAATTTTGAGTTGAAGGCTAAACCTGCTAGCACAACACCTGTCAGCAGTTTCAACCTGTGCAAACAAATAAAGATACATGTTAATATATAAGTATTTAGTTATAACCTTCTTACCTGTTATCTCACACTGCGCTTAGTATAAAGTAGTCTAGCGTTCGCCTGAGCTAACAGCAAGCTACTTAGTTAGCTATCCCGCAGCTAACCTTCCTGCTAGCTTGCTCAGTTTGAACTAAATCCGCACAAGTTTCCGGAAAAGAGAAGAAGCCGAATAACTTAAAACTTGCTAATTAAGTTAGGAAATTGTTATTAAAAATGTATTCATTCGCAGTTTAACGCTCCCACTCCGTTTACTCACATTGCTGTCATTTCCTAACCAGCATCTTCGTCAGAACACAGCAACCTGCTGGAAACAAAGTTCACTTCTTCGCATCCTTTTCCTTTAGCTCACAGCCAACAGCAGAGAGCCGCTCGCTGGCGCCACCTACCGGCGAGACCTGCGAACCACCCCCCCAGGATCCGATTAAACCGTAACCATGTGATCACTTTTTGAGACCAACACAATAATAAAACGAGGATAAGAGAATATATGCAAAACTTTTATATCCAAAAATTCCACAGTGTTGAGGATATTTGAAGGCTCTATGTTATTTTGCATTTTAGGCCTACTCTTCCATTTTTACTGAATCTGAAATAAAAGGTTTTCTTGGCCCTTAATGGATTTCTGATATTATATATTAATATTATTTTACAAGTACATTTTTAAAACATCAGTCCTGATCATACCATTACTTTTCAGGATTTTAACATTTTAACTGCCAATTAGTTTACATAATGCCGCTGCTAATTTTCTTTTTTTGGGGGGGGGGGATTTGGCAATGAGCAGCAACAAAATTGATTTATATGCATTTTTCTAGTGCAGTCTCACATTAAAGTAAAGAATCTCAACTCATTTTTCATGTAAAATGTTAATTATTGGGTTTTACTGAGCCTCTAAGCCTACATCCTTGAAATGTCCATCTCTCCAGGTTTGAATTGTCCGGTCCCACCCTCCCTCACAAAGCTGCATATAATTAGTAGGGCTCAAAAACAGCCAGACTTTGTTTTACTTTTCCCTGCAGCGCTGCAAGATGCCCATGTTTTATTACTTGAGAGTGCATGTGTGGGGGCGTGTGCGGCGTGCATATGATAAGGATCCATTATAGAGCGGCTTTGAACTTACAAATGTAAGAGCAAATGGAGGAAAAAATTCCACAAGAACCACATGCTCTTGGCTCATGAGGTCATCCAATGTACACAGGTACACTCCTACAGCACAGACACACACAATCTTCAAAGCTTAGCACACTGTAACTTATATACAGAAATGTACTGCACCATTTACTATTTTCTAGTTGCGTGCGCATGTTCAAGCGTGTGAGTGGATGGATGGTGGTATGTGCATGTGTTTGAACGAGGGAGAGACAGGGAGGGAGGAATCGTATCTTCTGCACAATGTATTTTCTATCTGTGGATGCTGCCATAGCTGGACATGTGTACACACACACCTCTTCAACAGCCATCAACACGCCACACAATTACTGACTAATCTGCCAAAAGCTGCAATAGGAAGCCTGGACTCCTTAATTAAAACCCGACATGATAGACTACATGAATTGGGACCATCATTGCCCAAATACCATATGCATTAACACAGCCAAAAATAACAGAAAAATCAAATATGATGTTCCTAATGAGGGACATCCCTAATAAGTATGGCTAAAAACATTTGA